CCATCCCTCCCCTCCTCCCTCCTCTCCCCAGATATTCATCCAGCAAGCAACACACACACTATAATGTTGCTCATGGTTGCATACAACTGTTGCAACTCCTAGCTTCCTTCTCCCCTTTCTCCTCCACTTCTACGTTCTTCCTCTGCCTCTCCCCGTTCCTCTTCCACCCCTGCTTCCCCCTCCCTGTGTATCATACAGCTTAAGTCATGTTAACACAGTGATCATCAGTTGGTGATAGCTAACCCCGAGAGATGGCGCCACGCAGTCAAGCCCATTGCATAGGCAGGTATTACGGTGGGAATTCATTTCCCCTTTCGCGGCCATACACACGAAACAATTCCCATAAATTAGCAGATCTTTTCGAGAAATCACACTGCTACCCTCTGCAAGTGACACCATATATGTTGTTAACTCGAAAATTCCTCCATAATCGTTTATGTAAACAAACTTTTCATGGCACACACGTGAAATGGCCACTTTGCAACGAGATTTTATGCGAAAAAGAAGGCTTCCTTTAAAAATTCCCTGACAGCCACAGTAAGGCTCAACGAACGCAGAGAGAAACCTCAGTTAGCGCGAAACCTGTCTCCTCTTGTCTCTCATCTGCTTACTTTACATTTGACATGTCATTGGGATGAGCGTGCATGCACGAGTGTCTGCCTGTCCGCATGCGTGAGTTTGAGTGCGTTGCGCAGGCGACTGTTTGTGTGTGATCCCATCTCTCAGACCGTGCATGTGTGCGCATGTATGGGTGTTGCGTTGTACATGCGTGCGTGGTTGCGTGTGTTCGTGTGTGATCCCATCTCTCAGACCGTGCATGCGTGCGCGTGTATGGGTGTTGTGTTGTGCATGCGTGCGTGGTTGCGTGTGTTCGTGTGTGATCCCATCTCTCAGACCGTGCATGCGTGCGCGTGTATGGGTGTTGTGTTGTGCATGCGTGCGCGTGTATGGGTGTTGCGTTGTACATGCGTGCGTGGTTGCGTGTGTTCGTGTGTGATCCCATCTCTCAGACCGTGCATGCGTGCGCGTGTATGGGTGTTGCGTTGTACATGCGTGCGTGTGTCGTGATGTGATCCCGCAAACCATGCCATCACTCTCAGACTACGTTATGCATGGCAGCGTCAGCAAAGTAACGTATGGAGCTGTTGCGTGCTGCTATGGCAGAACGTCAGCATCGAAGTTCGCGAGAGTAGAAGTTCCCGTGGTTCGTGAAGTACGCCATAACCGTTCTCACATCTACCAGAGATGGTCACCACCGAAACCAGCGTGCTCGCACGCATGCGCAATGCAAGCGCGCACACCGTACCAGAGGAGTGCTCGCACTGCAGTGTTGTGCACAGGTCATGAGAGATCGATGACACCACGAAACAACTCGCAAACCATGCACGTTGCGTGTGTTCGTGTGTGATCACCACCTCTCAAGACCGTGCATGCGTGCGAGGGCATAGGCCAATGCCCAAACAATGCGGATGTTTACCACCGCGATTGTGTACACCTCGCACGCGTGCGTGGTTGCTTGTCGTATTTCGTGCAACGGTCTGAGAGGTGGATCACACAGCGGAGTAAGTGACAACTCACCCAGCCGCACCCTCAGATCGCACACCGGCTAGCTCGGCAACCTGACACGCAATCGTAATGCCGTGTTGCGTTGCGCCACATGTGTCACGCAGCGGACTACTGGGTCTTTGTGTTGTGCCATGCCAGTTCTGTGGATCAAACCGAAACACCGCGAACCAATTTGCACGCATCCAACACACCCCAACAGGCCGCCATGCACGTCTGAGAGGTGGGATCACCACCAGCAGTCGCGCAAGCGCATCAACT